ATGTGTTCCTCATCATTTTCTGGAAAGTTGTCCTTCCAGTAAACAATTGGGCTGCTAATTATACTGTGTTAAGAAGTGAACAGCTTCTGTTTGGAGTTTTCAGAGGCGTGTGCCTCCTATTCATCTTTAGTTCCATTTCCCCAAAATTTTCAGAGGTATTCCTCTCAGCTGCTACTGTCCTTATTGGCCACCTTTTAGCATTAACAAAGAAATACTGAGAATATTGCAGGGTCAGCCTTTTTAACAAGGTGTTTGAAGACCTGCTCTTGAGATATTTGCAGGATTAAATTGTGGAGGAACCACTCCATTATTTTTAAGAGCATCCATTCTGGTTCTGTTCTAAACACCATCACAAAGCAATGCAATAACGTCTTCTTCTGGGAAAGAATCAAAACAACAAAAACCTAACACGAACAATTACTTTGATTGATACAAGACAAAGGCTGAGTGACTGGCAACTCTTTCTCTATGGGCATTAAGCAAGGCAATGGGGCCAGTGTATCCTGAGATGAAACCTGCTGCATTCAGCTGATACGTAAAGGCTCCAGATACAATTTTGGAACTGCATGTAAAGAAGAGCCTAACTGAACATGCTGATTTGATGGATTTTTCTGTTACTTCCCACCCCCCCAGCCTACACAGACTCTGTTAATGCCCAGCCTAATGAAGCATCTTGCAAGACATGAAAGGTGGAATGTTTGGGGGTATTTTAGTGGTCTACAAAAAGCATCACTTATTCTTGCATCCCCACTCCTTACAAACACACACACATTAATATAGCTGCCCATCTGCAGCAAGAGCCTTTCATGACTACAGATTTTATTCTTTAAATTTTGACAGCACATGACATCATCTGCTGGAATCACATATCTTCCTCTTTCTTTGTTGTCTTTGTGTGTACAGTTCACACAAGGGTGTATCCTACAGAAAGTTAAACTTAACAGAATACAGAGCCATGAAAAATGTGCCTTTGGTACAGCTTTCTTATAACCTATTGTGACATTTCACACACATTACAGAACCTAATGCTTTTCACCATCTAGATGTTTCCTTCTTCACTGGTGTGGAAATTGTTCGTTCACAGACAACTCACATATACATCAGTTGGGCAAGAGAGTAAGAGAAACAATGTAATATTGTTAAACCTATAGTCTCAAATATTTATCATGAAATGGAAATATCAAGGGAAGAGATGTTACCACTGGAAACAAACAATTAAATAACTATGTTTGTTCTTCGGATGTTTTAAAGTCTGGCATGGCATGCTGCTCTGAATTTAATTCTGACAGTCTCAAAGGATTTTCTTTATGAATGAGGACACCCTACACCTCATTTAATTTTCAGAAAGCCATGGCCAATTTAGGCACAGCAAACAAGCAGCTATATGTGCAACATGTGAAACAATGCTGAGCATCATAGTGACACAGATTTGCAGGTCTGGAACTCTATTGAGCCCAAACCTATGCTGAAGCAGAAGATGCATCATTTGACATTGTTTGGAAAGCAATTGTGTGAATGAAGACACCATTTAAAGTAAATGATTTTCAGGCAAGGAAGGAAATTAATATACTATGGAAACATCATCTGGCTGGATATCTCAGGGAACCAGAGCAGGAATTTGATTCTGCCTTGTCCCTTCAAGAAGAAACAATCTGTGTAGCCTTGGGCAAGCTGCACAGCCCCCAGGGGATCCCCAGAAGGAAGGAATAATAAACCATATCTGGATTCTCTATACCTAAAAATGCTCGTCGTGAATTAGAATCTACAGCATTTAATTATCATGGATCCTCTTACTCCAGCCTAACAGACCAAATATTGGGCTTCACTGGAGACCTAAAACAAAACAGGAATTACTGATGGTGTGCAAACACTATCATTAGTCAATGGATTGGCTTACTTTTGTTGCCCTGTTGTTAGCACAATGTAATGTTGGCAGGAAGGACAAATTTTGTAAAGCGAAATTCTTTCTCTCTCTCAACCCTCGACATAATTATCCTACTTTTCAATTCTGAAATTGCTTCCTACCTGCAATATGGTTTGAAAAACATAATATTGCCATCTGCACACTGCTGGTTCAAAACAGCTTTTCTTAGTTGTTGTGATTCACATGAGAAGTATCATGCTGATTTGCTAAATATATAAGCTGTTGTTTTAATGATTAAATGTATCGGAATAAGACTCCATGTATGTTAAGCTGCTATACTATAAAAGTTGGTTGAGAAGTTTTTGCTTTAATTTCTATGTACTTTCTTAAGTTCTGACAGAATAAACAGGAATTCAGGTATTCCTCACACCCAAAAACCATGACAAAATTCAATTTAAAGTTCCATTGAGAGCAGACCTTTTGAATCAACTGCTTAATTACATGCCAATCCTCCCTCTAGTTCAATGGGTCAGCTGTAGCTGGGATGAGCAAACTGGATGTAGGACTTGCAATGCCCTCTTCAGTTAATCTAATCTGTCTGTGAACAGTGTATGGCAGATATGTACTGAACATATACAGCCATCTACATATTGCCCACCATCTGGAGATAGTTCTGACGGTTTATTTTTATATTTTAAAAAGTTTATATTGCACCAATGCTTTGCTTTCTGTACTAGTGATGTTGTTATATACAGAACATGGTAAGATAATTTGTGATTCTTCTGATGTTGCTGAACCAGAACAATCATCTCTCATTACTGGCTAGTTTGGACAGAATTTATTGCAAGTGTAGTCTAGCATATTGGACATCCCTGAGCTACACACAGGTAAGGGTATTCTGGAGCCATTCAAACTAATGCTTTGCTTTCTGTACTAGTGATGTTGTTATATACAGAACATGGTAAGATAATTTGTGATTCTTCTGATGTTGCTGAACCAGAACAATCATCTCTCATTACTGGCTAGTTTGGACAGAATTTATTGCAAGTGTAGTCTAGCATATTGGACATCCCTGAGCTACACACAGGTAAGGGTATTCTGGAGCCATTCAAGTCCTGCTGTAATGAAATGGCTAAGTGTTTTGAGGGCACAATCACTCAAAACTGGTCTGGTTTCCATTCCATCTCAGACAAAGTTCTAACTCAGGTATGAAGAGAACTTTCTTCTTTCCCCGTCATAGGATTCATTCCAGTTGGATTGAGGCTGAGGCCAAAGTGCTTGGAAAGATTCACCTGCTAGCTGATACCCTTGCCTATCTGGGTCTCTTAAACCAGAGGGGATTAGATGTACTTTCCCAAGAAGACGTATACTCCTGGCTGTCTTAAAGGGTGTGGATGAAAAAGAACATATCTGAAAAAAAACTCTCACTGGAACCGCAACATTGGAATAATTATCGCTCTATCATAAACATTACCTTTGGGGGCCAAACGTTCAAGCTAGTGGTGTTCAAGCTAGACACACAGCTCTACATCTCTTTTACTCCAACTTCAGTGGATGCCGTCCGGTCCCTCCAGCGCTGCCTGGACACCGTACTGGAATGGATGCAGTCAAATGGATTCTGGCTAGTTTGGACAGAATTTATTGCAAGTGTAGTCTAGCATATTGGACATCCCTGAGCTACACACAGGTAAGGGTATTCTGGAGCCATTCAACTCCTGCTGTAATGAAATGGCTAAGTGTTTAGAGGGCACAATCACTCAAAACTGGTCTGGTTTCCATTCCATCTCAGACAAAGTTCTAACTCAGGTATGAAGAGAACTTTCTTCTTTCCCCGTCATAGGATTCATTCCAGTTGGATTGAGGCTGAGGCCAAAGTGCTTGGAAACATTCACCTGCTAGCTGATACCCTTGCCTATCTGGGTCTCTTAAACCAGAGGGGATTAGATGTACTTTCCCAAGAAGACGTATACTCCTGGCTGTCTTAAATGGTGTGGATGAAAAAGAAAATATCTGGAAAAAAAAACTCTCACTGGAACCGCAACATCGGAATAATTATCGCTCTATCATAAACATTACCTTTGGGGGCCAACGTGGTATTGGATGGAGCATCCATACATTTTAATATAGATTTAGCAGAATTTGGCAGTAACACAGACTTCATTATCCCTTCATGTCAGGAGAAAGAGGGAGCATGATCATGTTGATTGTTCTGAGATTTCCATTGGTTTCTGCAGTCATGTTAGGCAACCTCTGTAAGTGTAAGGGCTACTGCGATCATAATAGCTCCACTCTTATGTAGAGTATGTGTTTTAGAAGTACATTTGGGCTGCAAGATCCTGCATGATTCCATCTCGTCCCCAGTGCATTTTAACATCTATGGGAAGTAATTGGATAAGATCCTCGAGTGAGCTGGAGTATTTACCAGTTCTCAGTTTTATTTTTGTTTTTAAAAAGTAATGTTATTTTATTTATTTATTTTGTAATCAGAGTCAAGAAGAGTGGGTTTGAATCCCTGCTCTGCTGTAGAAACTCATCGTGAGGGCAGAATTGGTAGAACCACTCTTTGAATAGCTCAGTTACCTTGAAAATGCTATTATAGCCACTGTAAGTTGGTTCTGACTTGACAGCACATAACAAACAGAAGACATCTTCGTAGGTATTATCTGTTGCATGCCAAGTTGTGAAACTCAGTATGCAACAGATAATGTCTATGGAGATTTCTTAACATATGACAATTTGTTTCCCAAAGTTATGTTATTTATGCAACTGTGCAACAAGATTTCAGCCAATGAATGACATGTTAATATTTGTAAATATATCACATTGATTCAATTGATGTATTTCACTTAGGACTAGCAACTGGATTAGGTCTTGGCTTTCCACTTTATTGCCTCATCTCAGATTAAAATGCTACAGAAAAAAACCCAAATCACCAACAAATGTAATTTGCAAAAGAAAACAACTTGCATCACCAACTCTGTAATACTGTTGTCTGATGACCCACCAATTACATCACTAGATCCCCCACTGATTTCAATGGGAGCTGCTTCATAGTCATAACACAGTGGTGTACTTACACCAGACTAATGGGAGGATGAAGATCTATGTCATTATTAATTAAATGTTTCATGCTGTAGCTGATTTCCAAGAAACTTTATTGAATGTCAATAACAAAACAAAATATTTTGTGTAACAAGTCACAGTTGTAGGTACATGGAATGATATGGAAATATAAGATTACCTTATATGGCTGTACATAGTTTTAAATATAATAAACTTGTTCTAAGTTTTATTTAAAAATTGACTGAGTGTAGCTGACAGTCATAGACCCATCTTCTTGTATATATATGAAAGTCTACACTTGATACTTGGGAAAAGCTGTATAAATAATTTCCTTTAAAAAAAATTCAAGACTAACAAAAGACTAAAAACACACTGGCACTTCCACAATTGTGTCCAGGTTTGAGAAATTCAGCTACCTTTTAAAAAAAGACTGTAGATGCATTTTTACACTGCTCTAAAGTGACACTATGATGTCTAACTTGATGAACATTCAGACCACACTTTTATTTCTTATATCCATGCTGTCACGATACAGAGTGACAAAGTTTTCTAAAAATATGTTCAAGTCTCTCCCAATGTGCCTCGCACACATTGGTCAAAACCTGTCATACGTGATTTGTAATTTGACATAGGGTTACTATATGGCAACCACTGCATTTGAAGTAGTGATTTCCATATGGTATTATACTAGATAAAGGAGATATACAGATTAGGAAGATGTTGGCAATGAATGTGCAGGTTATGAGTCAAGTATAGACATAGCACTTAACCGTGGTTAGCACCCCTTGAGTTTACGATCCCAAATATACAATAACATTGTGACTTTACAGAGTAAGCTTAGGGAGAATACAGACAGAAACCTATAAGTTACTCTACAAGCGGAAATCATGAAAAGATGGTGAAATGTTCTTAACCAGGGTTTGTCTGCTGTGGAAGTGTCTCTTAATCATAGCCAGGGCTTGGAAATCACATGTTGGATTTAACATGCAAATTCTAAAATAGTTACCTTTGCATTAAACAGTAGGAATGTGTCTAATCTTAAGAAAACAGTGTACAAGAAATTATGTTAAAATGACACACCATTTTAACATCAACAAGTTAAATTAACACCTTACTTCCAAGCTCTGATCACAGTTGACTCAGCCCATGGCTTTAAACCCCATGTCAAATCATGCTTTTACATCCTACTTTGTAACCTATCCTTAACCATGAATTAGGAATCTAAACATAGGAGTTAACCATCAAAGTTAACAAAAACAAGTCAACATTAAGCATTATGTCTGCTCCTTTGATGATGTTTGAGCATTTGATATAATCTTGGTAGCTCTTCTCAATTAAAAAGAAGAAGCCAGGAATAAGTCATTTTAAAACAGTATAAGGGATAGTATCAGAAAAAGTCATTATTACAGAGTGAGTACAAATCACCAGTAGAAAGGCAGAACCAAAATATGTGACCTGGTATGCCACAGTCATCAACTTAAGACAGACCTAGCAATTCTGTTGAATAAAATTTAAAAGTACTTCCTCAGAAGTTCACACATTTGCATGCACATCTTTAAAGGTCTGCTGAAGTTTGAAGACTACATTTATAATATTTTATTAGCTCTATACACTGGAGAGGGTTCATCTATTTTTATGCAGAGAAGAAGAATGGAAAATTTTATCCTGAGTAAGAAGGCTAATCATTTTCATCTTCCTATGATATACACTCCAAGCTCTTTGATATGGCAGTGTAAAATATCCAAATATATTTGTTAAATGTTCTTGTTGATATCATATAATAAACACCTCATCATTTCAATTTAAAGAACAAAGAGGGTACTTGGGAAGTGTAGACAAGGAAGAAGTTCTTATAAATGATCATTGATAATTCTAAAGGAATGTTAAATGCAGCTCCATAATCCATCTGCCTTAATGGTAACAGAGGCCACAAACTGGCCAAAGATAACTATTCCTAATTCCCATTTATTTCAATGGTAGTAGATTTAAGCAGTGGGACCTGAATTTTTTTTAATATGGCTGATTGTGGCCAGCCAGTTATAATCAAGATTATGTGTGCATACTATCAAATCCTGAATTATTACGACAGAGATGTAATATTGGAGCGTCCACCAGGGGGTGCAATGATTTTTTGTGCAGTCCGTCTTGCAACATGGTCATCTGCTTGAGACCCTGGGGAAAAAACACACAGAGAACAGAATATTTTAAGTGAGAAATAAACTGATTAATACAACATGGTCTTAAACTTATGGGAGTGAGCCCCAAGAAGCATGTATGGCAACTCAGACAAATCTGGTTCAAATAATATATACAGAGATAAACATACTGGGGATTTTTTTAAAGGGAAGCTTATACAGACTGCAATATTATATATTCAGGATTGTTACTGTTATGTGAAGTCAAGTCAAAACTGAATTATAGCAACACTGATGGGGCTTTCATGTAAGTACATTGTTTAAGGAGTGTTTTTACTAGTTCCACTCCCCCAGTAGGTTTCCATGGTTGAGTGGTGAATTGAACCACGTTCTCCAGAGCCTTAGTCCATCATTCTATCCTCTGTACCACACTGGGTATATAATCGGGACTACTGCCCACTATTTTTTCTTGGTAAACTATAACTGGCACTCTTAGATGACAAAGAACTACAGGAGGCAGCTTGGTCCCCATTTTGAAAATAAAATAAAATCACTTATTCAGATATTACATGGAACAGCCATTTCGCAACTTGGAAAAGTATAACCTTCCAAAATTGCCCCAAATACATTTGCCCAGTTATTGCTAGCAATCCTCACCTCTAATATCCTTAGCCCTAGGGAGACTCAACATCATGTGTCATCAAATAAATTCTGACTTACAATATGGTGACCTTTTTTCAGGGTTTTCCAGGAAAAGAGAAGTGGTTTACCATTCCTTTCTTCTGGAGGCACCGTGGCGGCCAGCCTGCCCAAGGACACACAGCCTGGCTCTACTCGCGGGATGAACACAGTGGGGGGGGGGGACTAAATTCCGAACCACAACCAAGGAGAAGGGAATGGTAAACCACTTCTGAGTACTCTCCACCTGGAAAACACTAAAGAAAGGTTGCTAGATGTCAGAATTGACTTGATGACACATGATTATTATTTAGCTAGGTAGACTAGAATTATCTTATTTGTAGTAAAAACTCTGGTCTATGAAGCAGCTGGCCTTCCAATACCAACAAAAAGAGGGATGAAGTCTAATTCATCAAGAAGTTTTGTATGATGTTTAGTTGCTAAACTTGTCTTTTCAGAACAACACACAAGGATCCTTGGTTTTGTGCAGCTAAACCCTAACCACACAAACACAAAAACATTCACATGTAGTTCTATGAGCATAATGCTAACAATGAAACGTTCTGAGGCAAATTGGCTTCAGTTAAGAAGTCACCATAGACATTATCTGTAGTGTAGAGAGTTAGGGCACAACAGGTAACATCTACTGTGATTCCTTAACTGGAGCAAATTCGCATCTAATAATTACACTGTTAGCATGACATTGTTATAACTACACAATAGGATTTGGGCTGCTGATTATTGGATCTGAATCTTCAGAGAAAGGATTACTAAACTTCTTAAGAATAGTTACCCTTTATAAGTGGATTTCACTTCCCATGACTCTAACACCTTGTTTTAATGACATCATGGATTTTGGTCATTGAAGAGCCTTTAATGAGGCACATATGATTATACTGCCACATGCTTCAACAGAAGGTTGCTAAATAATGAAAGAATTTGCCATTGTGATCAAGTCTGTAGAGGACTTGGCAACTGGTATCCTGCATTTGCAGCTGAGCACAAAAGGCTCCCAAAGTCTATCTTAAAACAATTATGAGAAAGATCTGATGAACATAAATCAATGATGCTCTCACCAGCTAAAGGCAAAATATTTACATTCGACATGGCAAAGTTTGCTGCTACAGTTGCAAAGACCAAGGCTAATATTCTGTTGCCTAAACATGGAGTGGAAGATAAAGTGTGTAAGCACCTCTCCTGCTGCAGTTGCTGGACTGATCTCACAGCCAGTATGAGAACTTTCATGGAATCAGGAGCTTGCCAGAGTGAGAGGAGAAGGGTGGTGTGGTTTACCTTCTGCTATACATTTAGGCAACAGGATACAAAGCAATGTTTAAATTTTTGTTGCAAAATTAATTGCTCTATTCAGCATCACCTTATATACAACTGTTAAACTACTACTAAGTTATATGTGAAGATTCTCAGTCATCCAATAGCCACATCACATTGTTGGTACATACTCAGCTTGTGATCTATGACAATTCCAAGATCCTTCACTCTTGTAGTATTGCTGGGCCAGGTAACCACTATCTTGTAACTGTGCATTTCGTTTCTTTTTCCAAGGTGCAGTACTTTGCACTTATCCCTGTTGAATTTCATTATTTCATTTTCAGCCCATTTCATTATTTCATTTTCAGTGCTCCTGCCTATCAAAATTATTTTGAATTTTCCCCCTGTCTTAGCGATTCCACCCAAGTTTGTGTCATCTGCAAATTTGACAAGCATTCCCTGCACTCCTTCATCTAGGTCATTGGTAAAAGTGCTGAAGACATTGGACCCAGGACTGAGCCTTGAGGTCCTTCATTTGTTACCTCCTCCCAGTTGGAGAAGGAGCCATTAATCATCACCCTCCAAGTATGATTCTGTAGCCAATTGTGTATCCATCTACCTGATTCTCGATCTATCCAGCCCACACCTAGTTAGCTTGTTAATCAGGATATCATGGGGCACTTTGTCAGAAGCTCTGCTGAAGTCTAGATACAGTATATCTACAGCATTCACTCTGTCTATCAGGGAGGTTACCCGATCAAAAAATGAGATCAAATTAGTCTGGCAGGATTTGTTCTTGACAAATCAGTGTTGGCTTCTAGTTATTACTGCATTGTTTTCCAGGTGCTTGCATAGTGACTGTTTTATAATTTGTTCCAGAATTTTCCTTGGGACTGACATCAGGCTGACTAGCCTGTACTTCCCAGGTTCCTCTTTTTTTGCCCTTTTTGAAGATAGGAACATTGTTGTTGTTGTTTAGTCGTTAAGTCGTGTCCGACTCTTTGTGACCCCATGGACCAAAGCACGCCAGGCCCTCCTGTCAGATCTGTTTGATTTGGATCCCTGCACTGAGCAGGGGGTTGGCCATGATGGCCTTATAGGTCCGTTCCAACTCCATTATTCTATGATTCTATGAAAACTCCAACGTATAAAGCTAAATTTTCAAAGGTGCTGTTCAGAGATTGAACTATCAAATGTATTGTTTTCATTTTAAAAGATAAAAGCAATTGTTATTTGCATGGAAAAAGGTCACTTCCATGCTGGAAAAGGCAGAAAGTGTCAGTGGAATGAAGTCTGTGCCTGCACATTGCATGAGAATATACTGTATAACAATGTCATCCTGGGCAAGTGATATGGTCAGGTTCCAATTGAGTCTAGCATTAGCTGGTGAGCCTTTGTTATGCTTCAGGGTTCTGTTATGTCAGTGAGAGGCATAGTCAGAAAGTGGCTGTTTACTAACTCTTGTGCAATCCTTTATAACTTAGGGATACAGTGGTGCCTCGCTTTACGATTGCTCCGTTTAACAACAAAATCGCATTAGATCGCTTTACGATGTTTACTATGGGGGAATTTCGCTTTGCGATGATCGGTTACCTGCTTCGGGAACCGATTCTTCGCAAAATGATGATTTTCCTTCAGCTGATTGATGGTTTCAAAATGGCCACCGGGTAAACAAAATGCCCCCCCGCTGTTTTCTGGGACGGATTCCTCGCTGCACAGGCAGCGAAAATGGCTGCCCTATGGAGGATCTTCACTGGACAGTGAGTTTCCAGCCCATCGGAATGCATTAAACGGGTTTTAATGCGTTTCTATGGGCTTTTAAATTTCGCTTTACGATGTTTTCATTCTACAGCGATTTTGCTGGAACAAATTAATGTCGTAATGCGAGGCACCACTGTACTTCCTGGACCATGGGCCCTGGGACACCACATTCCTATCAGGCACTGACAGGAAGTTCTATTCAGACACTTCAAACACTGTAGCCATTGAGGAGGCAGAGGAATACATGTGTTATTTCTGTCCCTCCAACCCTGGTCTGCATCAGTGAAGGAGGACTAAAAGAGATTGACCCAAACTGGATTTTCTACATCCTTTATTTCAGCCACTGTTTCTTCCCCAGACTCGGCTGCTATGCAACTATTGCCAAAAAATTAATCATTTCTATTTGAAGTGAGGATACAAACCAATGTTCAACGGATCATCCAATTCACAGTGGAGCAAATGCTTAAGCTTTAATACCAGAATCCTTGAAATATGATTAGTAAAACAATGGTTAAATCTAGGAGGCTAGAGAGCCACATCATATTCATCAATCTTTTACTTTACTTTTACTTTACTTTATTTAGATTTATACCCTGCCCGGGGTAGGGTATTAAATAAAGTCTACTCGGGGCGGCTTACAAAAAATGATAAAATCCAATAAAATAATATAGTTATTAAAACTTAATAATACAAGCAACTAACTAGTGGATATATACATTATCAAGATGGGAAATTGAGCTCAGCAGGTAATGGCAGCTTCAGTTTACAACTGCAGTGCAGATGCCAATTCTCCACAACTGTAAACCATGGAACAACCATCCAGGATTTCAAATTGCATCCCAAATCTGTTAAAAGGGATGTCTAGGCCATAGTTGGTGTTTCAGTAAAATGTAGGCAGAACTTGGAAGGGAGCAGAACTTGGAAGAAAGACATGTTTGCGCTAGAGATACCAGAATCCTCAACCAATATGCCCAGACTAGGTAGGGGGGGATACACAATTTTGCAGTCCAAAACAGTAGCTTCTCCAAACTCTGCTCCCTCTTGGATGCTCAATGTTATTTTTATGAACAAAGTTGCTGTTTTATATTACACTGGCCTCTCAAATTGACTTACCTGACAGGCTAAAGCCTGACTGATGTAGGTTACGGATTGGAGGAACTTGAATCTTGCCTGAACAGGTAGCTATTCTTGAGGTAGGAGTTGGGGCCACTGCTTTAGCAGTTACGATGACATCATGAACTGGCCCATCATAAAGCCCACGGGGAACACCATGAATCTCTGCAAGCTGTAACACAGGAGGAGGAAAAAATCACAATGGAGCAAGAGGGCTGCCGGTTTTGTGTGAGATATGCTCATGAGCAAATCCCATTATCTTTTTTTTCTTTGAGAAAAAAGCTCTTTCCATTGAACCATGTGCACCTCAAAAGAACAACATGTAATGGACCTACAATATGGCTGGCCACAGTATGCTAGTCCTCCAAGAGCTATTCTTCTACTAGGCTCCACTCATACACGGCAGTTTGGGAGCCACTTCTAAATGGCATGTTTCCATGTAATTATATAATACTGTAGTGAACCACTCAGCCATATTAGTTGGGCCAATCATATTGGTCCTTCCCACTCCCTTGTTAGGTTGGAGAAGTCCATGCAACTGACCTCCAATCATATGGTTGCAATATTTGCAAACCGGATTTCACCAAGAGGTAACAGCTGACATACTGCTGAGAATATTTCTTAATAAACAGTTTTAGAAAGAGCCAAGGAATTTGTATTACATAGCTATATAATAAATATTCTGCTATATAACAACTAGTTTTCATAGAAACACACCTGTAAGGAAGTTAAATTGTGAGAAATAAAAATGAGGCTTTGACTGGATGCATGTAAACAGAAGCTAAGTCAGAAGAGAACTAAAGGAATAAGCAGTTTTGTTGACCAATGTATCAATATAACTGCCGGTGAGCTCAGTGGTTTAGGTATCTGGCTGCAAAGTCAGACGTTAGGAATTTGATTCCCCACTGCACCTCCTTGACAAGGGGCTGGACCTGATAAGGTCTCTTCTAGCTCTGAAGGTCTAAGATTATTCTAGGAATATATCCCAAAGCCATCACAAATAATTGCATGTTTTTACATTACGATGAGAGTACCCTGTTCAATTATGGAAGGGTGGGTAATGTGTGGCTCTCCACATGTTGCTGGACTGCAGATCCCATCCTCCCTAGCCAATGTAGCCAAAGATGAGGGATGATGGAAGATGCAGACCAATGACAAGGGGAGAACTACACATTGCCAACAACATTCACTACTATGAGGTTTGGCAAGGGCCTCCAATGTAGATGGTTTGAAATAAAAAATTAATGGAGGAAAAAAGCTGTTAATGAATTAAAGTCATGATGGCTACCTACCGCCTGCAGGAACAAGTGATAGTGCACTTCTGAATACCAACTACTGGGGAGCAGGACAGTGCTGTCATTGTCATTTCCTGCTTGTGGCCTTCCTACAGACAACTGGTTGGCCATTGAATAAAAGAGGATGTTGGACTAGACAGGCTTGCAACCTGTTTTCTTGCATCAGAACTCTCCTGCTCTTCTTGTGTTATGTTTTCATGTTTGCATTCTAGGAAGATACTACTACACAAAACCGCTAGGAGGGGAAGGTAGACAACCAGACTTAAGTGCCTAGAGTATGAAACAGAAAAGCCCAAGTATATCACCATCACAACCAATCAGTAACCACCCGTATTTGGATGTCCAATTATGGTCAAGCAGGGAGACCATAAAGTTCGTGCTCAGGATAAACGAGAAGTGTGTTTTGTGAAAACATCATTCCTGTGTTGATTAAAAATGACACAGTATGTCTCTTTTTTTCTGAAACAACATAAACATAGTTTGATTGTTAGAAAATAGCCTGCAGGATTTAAGCTTATCAACTGGAATCAGGCAAGAACAGAAGGGGCTCCTTCCTCCCTCCCTCTCCCCTACCCCACCTCCAACTTAATTCTTCCCAATAAATGCATAAATAAAGAAAAACACATATAAAGCTGAAATGAAGATTGTACACTTAAAAAAACTTTCTTCTCATACTAACCACTCAGCAGGCAAGACATTAATTAATGCTTAAGAAAACAATATATAATACTATGGGATGTGACAGTTGCAACGTTCTCTAGGCACAATTCAATTATCTGCAGCAGCATCTCTTCTTATATGCATCGTTCTATAGAATGCTAGCCGGTTGTCTCTGTTTAGCAGTCCTCTGACACATGTAAAGGTGTGTTGGCAAGAAATATTTGTGTTTCCTGGCTGCAGGACATTCTACACAACAGCTTATTTGGCTGCAAACACTCAGGTCTATCCAACCATTTTCCAGGCTGCAAAGCATCAGTTCTACCCAACAGAATCACAGAATTAATGGATTTCAGTTGCTTTTTCTGCAATCTTAGAAATAGCTGACTGCAAGCATTGTAGTTATCTCTAGTTGCTTTTACACAAGAAATGTAGTTACATTACACAAGAACTAGTACTACATTATTAATTTCCGGTACAACTTGTAACATCTATGTTACTGAAGTATAAGTATTAATAATTAACTTTCAAAAATTACTTTCAAATGCATATTAAGGCATTTTTAGAAACATTTTGACAGGAATTATCTAGGAGGTTTTGTATCACTCTCTTGTCAATCATAAGTGCCCAGGAAAGTAATCTTGATCTTTTGCGTTGTTATACGATTCCTAAGACCCAATCTCAGAATTATTTAACAACACGCATATGCAGCAACAGTGCAATGCAGTAAGTTCTTTTTAAAAGATAATATCTTGAATTCCGGTTATACTACAATCTTTTACCCATTGTTTTTAAAACAAGAATCCCTAAGGAATCATCTCGGGCAACACGTATATGCAGCAACAGTGCAACACAGTAAGTTCTTTTTAAAAGATAATATCTTGAATTCTGGTTATACTACAATCTTTTACCCATTGCTTTTAAAACAAGAATCCCTAAGGAATCATCTCAGGGGAGGATGGCAGGCAAAAGCAAATGTCAAGCACAAACAAAAGAAAAATAAAAAGGACAAAAATGCTGTGGCATCTTAAAGACTACTAGCTACGATATTTTAGTCTTTAACTGCTGTAATTTAGACTTTATATTTTAGTCTCTGAGGTGCCACAACATTCTTGTCTTCTTTATCTTATTTTAAATTTATTTATTTTTTGCCTTACATGCTACCTCTTCTAGTACTAACTGAACAAAAATGCTGTGGCATCTTAGACTACTAGCTACAATATTTTAGTCTTTTAACTGCTGTAGTTTAGACTTTATATTTTAGTCTTTGAGGTGCCACAACATTCTTGTCTTCTTTATTTTATTTCAAATTTATTTATTTTTTCTCTTACATGCTACCTCTTCTAGTACTAACTGGGTTAATTAACTATGGAATGCAGAGCTGGAAAAGAAAAATGGAAATGTGGGGTAAATTTTTGAACTGGAAGTGGAATGAATTTCTGAAGTGGAGCACTTGTTTGGAGAGGGGCACACGCTGCAATGTTTTGTTGCTGGTACCACTCATTTATAGTTATTATTACAGTACATGACTGATAACTGCTTCAACAATACAATCACATCCACTGACAACTAATGAATCAAATTGGTACAGCCAATATAAGGTTTGTTCCTATGAATCTTCCAGGGGACTTTACTGTATTTGAACTTTTGCCACCACAGTCTGAGTGGGCAAACAATAACTTGCCATCCTCCTGAAGCTGAATTTGTCAACCTGATTTAGAGAATAAGCAGAACCCACCTAATGCAGGTTTGAATATAAGACAGAGAATAAAAGTTACTCCAGGTTTGATTGTAACAGCTATGCAAGAGTAAGAGCAACGAGTTAAGCATCAGAGAGGAGGGAGTAAGGAAAAGGGGAATTGGGTGGGGCCATGCCAGAAGGCAACCCAGTTTTCATCTCATTTCCCTCAAGGAATCTTGCAAAATCAGCTGGCAGTATTAAGACTTTTAATCAAACATTCCCAGCTGGGTTCTCTTCAGTTACTACATTTTGTCATACCCAGCCAACACAGCTACCTCACGAGTCTGGAAAGGAAGGGTATAATGTACAGTAGATATGATTATGATTATCTGGCTGAAATCCTTTTGCTTAGCATAGTAAATTGCACTAGAGTAGGTCACTTGAATCAGAGGGGATTTGATGAGTCAACTCCTTCCCAGGTTCTATTGATTTAAATGTGTCTACTCTAGTTGTGACTTACTTTAGTGTAGCAAGTCACAACTAGAGTAGGGCCACTTGAATCAGTGGACTTTCAGAGGCGTTGGCTCACCATATCCCCAGTGACTCAATGGGCCTAGTGTACTGTGATTTCAGCCCAATGCATGACCCAGTAACTCTATGTATATTTCTCACTTATCTGAGTCACACATTGTTGTAAATAATGACAGCTAAAGCGAACACTTGAGGAATGTGGAGTAGCCTAGATTTGCCTGTACAGATCTAGGACAGTAATCACCAGTGGCTGTAAAGCTGACTGAACTTTCCTGACATGTCCAGCCTCTGGCCAAGGTCCTGTACAGCTGTGTAAATTCTGACCTAGATTTGCAGATTGCCTAATTATTAAGGGTCAAGCAGTTCATTAGCATGTGCCACAAGGTGACAACAGGGTGTGTGTTTTTCTTTATTTAAGAGAGAATGTGGAGGCCCATGCTTCTAAATATATTTATATGTGTAGAGAGGATTTAAGTCTTCATTTTCTGCTATGGCTGGATTCAAGTTCACTTGCATGAAGAGGTGCATGTCTATTTGACAGGAGATTTTTTTCCACTTATGTAAACAGCAGTTAACATTTTGGAAGTTCATTACTATGTTACTAATGCTATTGTCACTCTGACAATTTGTCGTATGTGCCTGTGTTCCTCTTCAAACAGTCCTCATCCCCACAACCATATAAATTCTGTATATTTGCCTGTGGCCTAAATGTCATATTCGGGGGAAGTGGCTTGCAATCCACAAAAGTTCACACTGAAACAAAACTGTTAGTCTTATGGATGCCAAAATATTTCAGTTTAGTTTTTATTATATAAGGAGAAATCTTCACAGAGGACTCCCTGTGGTTGGGTGCACAGGAGATGTGCGCGCACATGCGCGCACACACGCATACACCCCTTTTTATATAACCATTCTAACAGGCAGTCTATTCAGGACATATTCCTCTGATGCACCAGGAACGTTTTTTAAAAGATGTTGAATGAGTTGTGAGGTCTCTTCCCAATAGCAACTTCCATGTACTCTACGATTTTGTAAAAATGCCCCATGTCCAATGGAAAATTTTGTGTGCATGATCAATATAATCAACCGAGAGCCAGAAAACACAAAACAGAATAAAAAATAAAATAAAATCAGACAGAATAAAATAATATGTAAATTTCTTGCATTGTAGTTTATGATTTGTTGAGAATGTGGGGCATTATTCATCCAAATTCATTATATTGGTAGGGACCAAAAGGCACCCTCAGTGTCAAAAATTGTTCGGGATATATTTTGTTGAAGCTAATTTTTTTTCTTTTTCTTTTTAATGGGAATGGAAATGTTGTACATATTTCTGCTCTAAAATAGATCTTCAAGATTCTCTCAGGTTTACTATAACTTTAACAAGCTGCATGACAGGATTATCTGCCTAAAATCTAACTCCTTAGTATAGTAAGTTGCACTAGACTTATTATGCTAATGGGAAAAAACCTCTTCCCATTATGGAAATAGAGTGATTTTTGCCTGCTGAATTTCTGCCTGATATGTACACAATAAAGGAAGAGAACATCTGCCAGGAAAAGTCCCCCCACGAAACATAACTTTGTTGGAAATCTTAGCAAAAGTATTTTGTTTTCCCTCTAGTTTATAAATATAGTCTCTGCGAAAGCATTACCTTAATTCTTAAACACAAAGGATTTAAAACAGTGACCTTAAGCAGATTTAGGCCAAAATCATATGATGTGACATAAGCAAAGTTATAGGTTTTGATCTGTTTCTGTAGATAAATAGCCCCCACTATGATTCTTGGGTATGCATGCACATGCATTAAGTCAGTGTGTACACCCACACCCTGAGAATCACGTTAGAGGCTCCTTATTTACTCAGGAACGGACTACGGACCAAAACCTACAACTTTGTTTTACACAATAGTATTTCTGCCATATGATAGTATTACACATGGCAAATATAATGGAGCTGAAAAATGTACCTGCATGTCTAATTCTCATCTTCCATCTGAGTAATATATAGTAATGTGAAATGTCAGAAAAATCCTGACATGTTATGACCCTACATAACATTATCTACTTGCCTCTTTTTTCTTTTCTTTTATTAAGCCATAGCCAATAAAGCAGGAAAGGGAAAGCACAACATAATGATATAAAATAAATGTTATCTTTACTATAGATCAGTGATGGCTTGTGACTGGGCAAGGCGGGTACAATTCTGTGATGAGGATCCCCTCCACTTCCCATCCACAAACCATCCAAACTGTAGGCCCAGTGGATGGGGACTTCAGCAACGGGACACAGTTTTTATAGCAGCCCTGTAGCCCTCAGAATATCTAATTCTGCCATTCTTAGTACAGTATTTAGGACTGGGACAAAGATCATGCAATGGTTACACATTATCTATTCTGAACCAGGGCACTTTCTTAGCAGCAGTACATTACAGCTGTAATTCTTGATCATTTATCATAGTATCATTTTCAGGCATTAAAACCTAAAGCCACCTAGGGCTTTAATTTGTGGTGGGGCTGGAGGGACACAAGCCTAGCCCCCCATTACTCAAAACTTTATGAATTCATTTGGAAGATTTGATCAAGTACTTATAAGTAGACTCACCTACATGTGCTTACCTCTTTAGACCTCCATGCAGAATGCACAAAGCTGTAAATGACTTCCTGGTATGATGGGATGTTGGGCACATAACATATGTATATGCATTTGTCCCCATAATGCCTAGCTAAAAAGGATCCTTCAGAGGGATCATTTAGAGATATGTTATGACTTTGTAACAATCTACAAGCAGCACTGTTCTGCACTAATAGGATCAGACCTTATGAGGAGATGAAATCCATAAAAAAATGCTCATAGCCAGTTTTAGCTTTCAACAATTAAAGACATCTAATTTCATGATTATAGGAGCTGTCAAAATCAAAGGGGCATGTTTTGGTAGGAGTGTGTAGTTCAATAAAGTGAATCAGGCACAGAAATATAAAAGAGAAAAAAAAACCCAAAGAGACAGTACAATTCCATGCATAAATGGAAGCAATTTGCAAACAAAAAACTGTTCTTAGTAAAAACAACAAAACAAAAGAAACTGGTACAGTATATTTACGGATGTCCAGATTATAGAGACAAAGTTTCAGGATGTAGAAAGTAGAAACAAGCTCTTTATTCTGTATTTCTTAAATAAATACAATAAAGAAATATTTTAATTTCTTAAATTACTGAGGTGTTCACCCATTCGTATTTTAAGAGGTCTAGAGGTTTTTTCCTATGTACAGTTTATTACATGGGTACCTTATAGCATAGATTATTCCTTTGGTATTACAATTAATGAAATCATTCAGGGTGTAAACCTTTTTGTTTTATGGCTCTATAAATTCTGGCATATGCCTTATGTTACTGCAATAAACACAATGCCCACATGGATGATGTCCTCTTGGAGGGGGGGGCAGGAACCAGGTAAAACACTGGAAATTAGTGGTGGTGTAGTATGTTTGTACTGACTTCTAACCAATATATCTCTTAGATTCTTAGTCCTTTTAAAGGATATCTATATTCCCTCTTCAAAACCCTCTAGATCATCTAGAATGTGCCAATTTCTTTTTATGCATTTGGTCAGTTAATTTATTGGTCATATGTTAATGGTCATATGTCCTGCCAACCTATTAGTTCGAAAGCATGTAAATGCGAGTAGATAAATGGGTACCACCACAGTGGGAAGGTAACGGTGTTCCATGTCTAGTTGTGCTGGCCACGTGACCACGGAAACTGTCTATGGACAAATGCTGGCTCTACAGCTTGGAGACGGGGATAAGCACCGCACCCTAGAGTTGGACATGACTGGACTAAATGTCAAGGAGAACCTTTACCTTTACCATATGTCAGTAAACAGTTTACATGGTTCATAGGTCTCCAGATATCATTTAAAAGACTCTGAGAGATATATCGGTTAGAAGTGAGTACAATGAAACTAGTAAGGTAAAGGTAAAGGTTCCCCTTGACAATTTGTCCAGTCATGTCCAACTCTAGGGGGTGGTGCTCATCCCTGTTTTCCAAGCCATAGAACCAGCGTTTCTCCCTAGACAATTTTTCTGTGGTCACGTGACCAGCACGACTAGACACGGAACGCTGTTACCTTCCCACTGTAGTGGTACCTATTTATCTACACACATTTTACATGCTTTCGAACTGCCATAATTTTTTTAAAAAGAAAATATCAATGAATCAGTTTCTGATGTGTGGCTTTGTGTTATGCTCAGCTCTTGAAGAAGGCTTCGCTGAAATGCATTGAACCAGAGCTTTTTAATGACTCATTTAAAGAAATACAGAATAAAGAGCTTGTTTCTACTTTCTACATCCTGAGCACACAGTAGAGGCCTTTTGCTCATGGAAAGGTACATCTAGATCCAATCCATTATTCTCCCTTGAGAATACCATGCAAACAGTACTGAAATTCTGCTTGTCCAGAATGACAAGACTGGCCATGTAGGTTCCCATAGGTTTCCATAGACCTTGCAAACTTTCAAAACATATGATCTCACATTGGGAAAATGTTAAGAGGGGTTGTTAACAAAATCTGTCCTTGTATGTTTGTTTTAGAAAATAGCTTAGCTGTCCTAATAGCTGAGTTCTAGAAACATCATGTCCCAGGATCATCAGGAACACTGATTATTCAAGCCAGTTCCTCAGTTTTTGCATTATATGCAGTACTCACACTTAACGGCATTCAAGAGAAAATTGGATGACCATCTATTAGATCTGCTTCAATTAGCATTGAGACTTATAGGTCCATGTCAACTCAATATTCTATGATCCTATGATTAAACAGAAATGGAATATTTTTCATAAAAACAAAAGCTCTCACCCTGTTTCTTGCTTTAATCCTTTTGTAAACGAAGTCAGGGAATGTCTTCCGAGGGATGAAACGGCCAACCCCTTGAGTAACAAAGAGATTCCCATCTTCCAACACAACCTTCCCTTGACTTATAACCACTGTAGGGACACCATGACACTCTGTTCCTTCAAATATGTTGTATTCCACATTCTGGCAAAACCAAAGTAAGAGTTTCAAGTTTTATATCGAAAGGTAATATCTGAGTGTTTTCCATTGGCAATTATACATATTAACAAGCCATTTGACAAACCTATAACAGTCTACCCTGAAAGACATGGGAACTTGGACAGAAAGGAAACCCACATGGAGTGAAAGTAAAGTGAGTGGATGGAAAAGACTCTTACTTCTGAAATATGGCATTCTCATTCTCTCTCTTCTTCTTCTTTTCAAAGAATTCACTTTCAGTTATTCTATCATAATTTGACTGGATAACTATTTTATTGTAACATTTTCATAATATAGTGTTGCTATTTTATAATTTTCTTCATATTATACAACATTCTTTAATCATCAGCACCCATAGTAATGAAGTGTGACTGATAACCACTTTATGTTTGTACTTTGTTACCCCTTTACGGATTGCTGCCTTGTCATGGCAAGGGACTTGTGATGGGCTATGCCATCCAGGGACACTAAAGATGGACAGGTCATAGTGGAGAGTTCTAACTAAACACGATCCACCAGGAGGAGGAACTGGCAAGCCACTCTAGTATCCCTGCCAAGAAAATTCCATGGGCAGAAACAAACGGCTAAAAGATATGATGCTGGAAGATGAGCCCCTCAGGTCGGAAGGCGTCCAACATGCTACTGAGGAAGAGCGGAGGACAAGTACAAGTAGCTCCAGAGCTAATGAAGTGGTTGGGCCAAAGCCGAAAGGACGCTCAGCTGCGGACGCGCCTGGAAGTGAAAGGAAAGTCTGATGCTGCAAAGAAAAACACTGCATAGCAATATGGAATGTAAGATCTATGAATTTTGGTAAGCTGGATGTGGTCAAACAGGAGATGGCAAGAATGAACATTGACATGGGAAAATGTGAAGGCAAGAGGAGAAGGGCAATGGGTGAATTCGATTCAGATGATTCTCATATCTACTATTATGGGCAAGAAATCTATGAATTTTGGTAAGCTGGATGTGGTCAAACAGGAGATGGCAAGAATGAACATTGACATCCTGGGCATCAGTGAACAAAAATGGATGGCAATGGGTGAATTCGATTCAGATGATTCTCATATCTACTATTATGGGCAAGAATCCCATAGAAAAAATGGAGTAGCTCTCATACTCAACAAAAGAGTGGGAAAAGCTGTACTGGGACACAATCTCAAAAATGATAGGATGATTTCAATGCAAATCCAAGGCAGACCTTTCAACATCACAATAATCCAAGTTTAGGCACCAACCACCAATGCTG